TGGTCACAAAAATGCTAGAGCCATCAGAAGATGTAGAGAACACGCAAACTAATGTGTGTGCGTTAGGAAATTGATACGTCGAAGCGGCTCTGAATGAATTTTTTCAAAGAGAAAAAAAAAGAAAATATTCGTTGGGTAAAATGACCGCGAAGAAAGTTGCGCCTCTAAATAAGCATGGATGGGGAGGAGGAAGGTCCCGCGCACATCATGGAGTATATGTAACGATTTCTTTGTTTTTGGCGACAGTGGGTGAATTGTCTAACAGCGTAACAAGTCCATTGTGGGCCTCCGAAGCCCGACCTCGACACCTTCGCCCTTCGCCTCTGCCTCAGATCTTGGCCGTTGGCCGCCGTTGGCCGCCGTTGGGAGGGCTGTTGCTTTGTAGCTGCTCGGTATAAAATAGCTGTTGGCTGCTCAAATCGTCCAATTGAAATTGTCCCCGGACTCCCGACAGATTGGAGGCGTCCAAAAACCGTTGAACCTTTTTTTTGTTTGTTTTTTACGTAAATAGTCAAATCTGACAATTAACCCGCGACAAGATACGCGTCGTGAGAGAGAGCCAGCCCCGAGATACAACCAACACTCCCCGCAGTGGGACTGCTCTGCTGCCGCCCATCGCGCACCACCACTACCACCGCCGCCGTACTTCCTGCGCGGTACATGGAAAGATGGGAATGTTCGACACCCACGCGGACGACGACCATGCGTGCTTCGAGCAGCGGCATGTGTGGCATGCGTAACAGGTCTCACACCATGGACGAGTTGCTCATCAGCAGCAGGAGCGACGAATTTGGCGCGAAAGACGACTGCGCCACTACCTCACCGCCCAGGCGCCGTCGCTCTCTACCTAGCTGCGTGAGGTTCAGGCAGGCCACCGCGGCCACGGCGGGCTGCGTGAACACGGTGCTGTTGTGGGGCTGCCGGGTGGCGCTGGTGGTGGGCAAGTCTCTGGGCGATCTACGGAGACTATGCGAGACACTTGCTGCAAGCGAAAAAAAAAAAAAGCTGCTGTGCTCTGATGATGATCGTGCTCAAGGCTGGGGCACACGTTCGAACTCATTAGACCAGCAGGACCACGAGTTGGGGATGTGCGAAGGGGCGGTTGGGGGGGGAGGGGCAGCGGTAGTAGCCGGGGTCGGAGGGGAAGATGGGGAGGGGTTGTCGTCGGCATCTGCTGACTCGGTGAAGATGGACTCGGGGTTGGGGGAAGGAGAGGAGGAGGAGGGGAGTTGGCGGGAGATGCGCAGAGGACAAAAGCAGCTGGAGCAGCAGCAGGAACCGTTGCAGGGTGATGATGATGATGATGGGAGCAGCGGCTTGGTTGAGATCGAGATGAGCACGTTTCCTCTGGACGTTAGGAGGGGAGCAGAGGGAGGGCTTGGCCGGCTGCCGTCGTTGCCGCTTACGCTCTCGTGCCTGCAGTACCAGCAGGGCATAACAGCAACAACAACGCGGCCATCTCCTGCTCGAGCTTCCTGCTGCCGTGGCGCAGCAGACGTTGGGACAGCAGAAGCCTCGCCTCCTGATGATGAGGGCTTGGGTAGCACAAACAACAACAACGACCCCACGCCGTTGCCGATGGTCTCGGATCCCGAGAGCGCGACAGCCAGCACTGCGAGCGCGTCCTGCCGCACACCCAGCCAGGACACCAGCAACAGCAGCAGCACCTGTAGCGGCAGTAGCAGTTGCGATGATGGGGAAGAACACGACTCGGCTACCACGCCCTCGGATTTGTACAGGATGCGCGACATCACGGCAGGCGCAGATAACAGCCCCGCCGCCGCCGTGGCCGGCGAGCAGGCACCGGCGCCGATGAGCTCAGCGACGGGTGGGGACTGCTGCTGCTGCCTGTGCGGCTACACGATCGAGGAGGGGCAGAGGGTTGTAAGGAGCCCGGAGTGCGCGGAAGGCTTGATGGTGAGTACTTGTAGTTGTGTCCCGTTTTTTTTGGAGATGCGCTCTGCATGAACGAGGTGTTTGTTGGATGGACCTCTGGAACGAGCAACGGTTTGGTGTTTTTGTGAAGCAAATTTTTGCTTTTATGGCGGTTTTGTGCCATTTTGCAGCCTCCCACACAAGCTCGATGCCAGCAGGCCATGGCGAATGGACACTACGGCCATGATGTCCCCCCCAACTGGGCGCCTTCGGTGTCTCTATTAGCGCAGCGGGTGTTCGGAGTTCGAAGCTGGAAAATCGAGTATATTGGCAGCGCGCTCCCAGCCCTTTTTTGAAAACCACAAGTCTGTTCACACAGAGCAGCAGAGCAGAAGTCCTGTACGTTCGTCTGTTTCGCAATACGCGCAAGAGGACGTCGGTCGGCTCCCTTTTCTCTCTCGGGCATAAGAACGAAGCTCGTGCCTGTTTTGGCAATGGCTTGTGGGTGCGTTTTGTCTTTTGAGTGTCGAGTTGGCTACTAATGTAGACTTTTTCTTTTTTAAATTAAGGCTACTCAAGGCGACAGCCAGCGGCAGTGGCATTTGAAACGGATTGCACCTTTGGGGGCGTGTGGCCGTCTGTTGATTGAACTTCAAATCAAGAGCGGGAACCAACTTTCGCTGTTGAATACTACTCCGGACTAGACAACAACGGATGGCTTGCGACGGCGTTGTTTGGCGTGCCTACATGCTTTCCCGGCGATTACACACAAGGGCCCATGATACAAAGCATTGTCTACAATACCACTCTCTGTGTGCTGCCGTACAAGTCGGGGCAATAAAAAAAGAGAGAAAACGATGTTTGCGTGACCTTCCGACCTTGCTGTATGTGGTACGTGGGACCCCGGCTGACTGCTGTTCAGCAGAACTGCGATGCACCGAAAGCGTTGTGAGTGCAAGTATTTAGTAGACAACAGCAGAACCGGCGGCAGAATACACACACACACACAGAGTAGGCCGTTGGACTATGTTTCCATTGGTCAGCCGGTTAAAAAGCACGGTTAAAAATAGCCTCAGATTCTAAAATCGGCGGTTCATCATCCACAACTATTACCTACAGTATCGACCGCAACAAGATCACTAAAGGGCGTGTGCTTCGTGGGTTGCTTGCGTGCACACTACAGCATTTACTTTGTTTTAGCGTACAACGTGGAGATCACCGTCGTTGTTGTCTTCACATTAAAAAAAATCACAAAGCTACAATCTCCCATCTCTACAATACAGGTATTTTTGCATAGAATTTGGGGATTCGGGGAGGCCTATTATTTGAACAAGTACATGTGACGTCTGCCCAGGAGGGGCGTAGAGTCGTGGAGGCGTTGGCATGGTGAACAAGGATACATATCGCGAACACAACACAGAGCCACATCCGATGCACTATGTACAATAGTTGAGGGCAGGGAGGCCTCCTGAAAGGACGACATTTGACTTGTAGCTACTGCTGGACCAGGCTGTTTCGATACAACCACGCGTTCCGGCCGGTATCGTAGGGTTCGTGGCATCCTGTGGGATGTTCACGACATCTGCCGTATGCATGAACCTCCTGCTGCAGACCTTATTTTATGCGGAACATATCGGCCACCGCAGAAGAACCGCTTGTTTCGCCTCGCGGAGTACATCTGCTGCGCCAAACTCGACACATGTCATTGTTCTACGCCCTTGTTTTTTTATTGTCAATCTTCCCTTGCCGAATATTTGCCTTTCTCCATTACGCCAAACATAGTCTTCCATGTGTTTATTCTGGTATATGAGACGTTTGTTGGGGTACGAAATTCCGTGCTTGTACGGTACAGGCAGGCAGAGAAGATGATCTCCATTGATTTTCGATGAATTGTTGTTCATGTAACGGCTTGCTAAGCGAGTAGAGTACAAAAGGGGTAGCGCTAGACCTGCCACCACTGTGATGCCTCGGCGATATCTGACTGCGGTCAGGTATTTACGAGCAATAATATTTGACGACATGCAACAACAACAACCAACGGTGCCGAAAGTCGCCGGGATCATGGAGCACCTCTCAAACTTACTGATGTGCTGCACCTGAATGGCGCACGATTGTTCCTTTCCGACACAACCTCGGATATGAGCGCGTTGTAACACAATTGGTGCTGTTGCCTTCAACACATGGCAGGTACATCAAGCCTGCTTCGAAAGCGAAGACAGTACACCGGTCTTCAGCGACGACTCGGATGGAGGAGCCCTCAAGTTCGGCTGCGACTGCGGGCAGTTTCACCCCGGAGTCGGACTGACGGCAGGCGTTTACGCGTTATCCTTAGCAGCATCAGGTGTGTGTTCGTGGTGACCCCGTCCTTGTATAATAGGTGAAACAATGAGCGAATACCGTAAGAGTCGGAGAGATGGCACCCCCGTTTTACCGTATTTTTGTAGCGAATGTCTCCTCAACGAGGGGGATACCACTGCGGAAAAAGTTAGTTTTGGAAAATGTTGTCGAGGGCTTTCCTGAAAGGCATCGTTTGGTGTTCGCACCCTCCCAGTTGTGGAGAAATACGCTTTTAAAAAACGCCAACACGGGGATGCCATCTCTCCGACTCGTACGGTATTTTGTTGTGGATTGGGGGTGGGTTCTGTTCCTCGACAGTTATAATACAGCCCAACCAGTTGTCATAAATAACACACATGTATTTGGTGTGGGTAGTGTGGTCCAAGTGCCGTCGCGTACGTTCACTTGTATTTTGTGTTTTCTAACACGGACAGAAATCCTGCTTGTTTTCTGAACGTGGCTATTAATAGGTTCCGACCAAGGGAACAGGGGAGGTTGTCGACCCTTGCTGCCTGTTGCAGTCAGAAAACGCTTGTCCTTGCGCGCGGTGTGTGCTCCGTTACATGTACTGTTCAGATGCTTTGGCGCCGTGGGAGACGTTGTCAGGGGCGGGGACTCCTGGGGCAGGGGCGAAGGGGTGGGTGGGGGGAGACGCCGGGGCGATGGTGTCGCCGCGGCATGGGTTAAGAGAGCAAGCGAGGGAAGCAGCGTTGGAGGCTTGTCCGACCTTTGTGCAGGTGCGATCCGGGGGTTGTCGCTGTTGGTGGTGCTGTTGCTACTGCTGCTGTTGCTGCTGCTGTTGTTGTTACAACTGTTGCTGTTGGCTGCTGTTGCTACTCTGTTGTTGTTGTTGTCGTGGTTTTTGTTACAACTCTGTTGTTGCTGTTATAGCTGGTGGTGGCCCTGCTGCTCATGTTCCCTATGTGTGTTTGTTCCCTGTG